CATTGATGGTCATGGAGTCCCCAGACCCTTTGGCTGCTATCATCATAATCAAGGAGTAGCAGCTGAAGACACAAAGAAAGCATCCTTCCCCCTAGAAACTACTGCAGATCTAACCATGGGACTGCTGCTCTCCCCCTACACTGGGGACTAATGGGGTGGAAGTGGGGAGTGGCAAGACAGAGGGTCACTGTGCCCTGGAGCTGCTCTGCTGCCCTGGAGCTGCTCTGCGGCAACATCCCAGCCCCACGTGCAGTCCCCCTACAGGAGCCTCTGGTTGTCACATGTCACCAGCAGCAGCTTCTGACTGGCCAACAATGACATCACCTTATTTCAAAGCTCATCTTCAAGTAGAAGAAGGTGGGGGAGTCAGGGATATGGGTCATGCAGACTGAAGCAGAGATGCAAGAGAGAGGAATGAGATGTAATGGAAACAGTTGCTTTCTAACTGTAACCTTTTCTGTACCATCTACATGTTTCCCTTAAACTGCTCACTCAGTGACATCTATTTAGCTACCCCTTGCAGGTTCCCAACTGCAACCACCAAGTTCAGGTTCCAGAACAAGGGAATGTCCTATGAAGGGTTCCCCACATTCCAGGGGTCACTTTGATCTCATGCTGTAAGGGGAGGGGGGATTTGACCAGACTATAAACCTAATGTCTTAAACCTGCAAGAAAGCCAAAGGCAGTGTTCCAGGCCCCTTCCCCCAAGACCCTTGCAGAGCACACTGCAGTAACAAAATCTCAGGCCACAGTGTCGCCAGCCTACTGAGCCACTTTATTCCCAAAAACTTCCCCTAGAGAAGCCTCCTCGTGCTGAGACCCTACGCAATCACCAGAGGCCATGCAAAGGAAGGAGGTAGGGACTCGACACTTTAGAGCCAGGATCTCTGGGTCTAGAAAGAGGATGGGGGAAGACTGGGGAGGCACAGGACAAGGGAATATAGGGATTGGAGAGGAGGAAATTATGGGCTCGGGAGAGCTGCAAGATGCTGCCTCCCGTTACCTGTCCCCCAAGAAGGCTTCTTTCGGCTCCAAGAGGGTGGTGCCCCGGCCCGGGCCCACTTCTCGGGCATCTCCTTGGGGACCGTCATGATCCGGGTTTGAGTGGGGAGAGCGTACTGTCAGTTCTTGGCCTCAGCGGCGCCTACGGGGCGGCCCCCCAGGGAGGCGCAAGTGCCGCTGCCGCTTACAAGTGAGCCCGGGCCCACCGGCGAGCATGCCACCCGCAACCCAGGCCATCCTCACGGGCACCGGCGCACCGCCCGGGAACTCCGTGAGCTCAGCTGCGCCGCCCCCGAAGCCCCCAGCAAAGGACTGCATGCGCTGAGTGGCCCCGGATGCGGTGCGCACGCCCCGGGCTCCGCCCCCTCCCGCTCCCCGCCCCCTCCCGCTCCCCGACTGCAGGGGCAGCAGCCTGCCAGCTCGCCGCGTAGGCGACAGCCAGCCCGAGCGCACCCCGCCTCCGCTCTGCGCGCCCCGCACCCGTCCAGGGCCGATGTTGGTGAGCGGGCTGCCGCGGTTGTTGGGGGCAACCGTTTCATTCCCTCCCTACCCGAAGGAAAAGGAAGAGGACCCTGTGGGGGAAGAGACAGGGGCTTCCCAGGCCAGAAAGTAGCAGCTGCAGGTGCCCCAAGAAAAGAGAGCAGGTGTTTCGGGGCGGGGGTGGGGTGGGGGCTGGTACTCAGCACTATCCCAGCAGAGAACCCAGCTCAAGCATCAAACGAAAAAATTGTGTTTCCTAGGCTCTTCCCGGGATGCGTAGGGATCTTGATCTCCCCTTTCCCAGATCCATGCCAGCTGTCCCTCTTCTCCTGACTCCCTGAGCCATAATAACACTCACTCTTGTCTAAATTCCCAGGGATTCCCACTTCTTGCCTTTCTTACCTGGGGGTCGCTTTTTTGCACACAGTGCCATCTCACCCAGCAAGGTCCCAGCAATCCCATGGGAGACCCTGTAGGAAGGTGATACATGAGTGTGGTCAGGAAGCTGAGGGTAACCCTTTATTCCCCTCATTAGGCCCTTCCTGAAGGTTCTCTTCTCCAGCACTGATCCTGACCCCTCCATCCCTCCCCACCAACACTCTCGTCTTTCTGCCCTGTCCAGTACCTGAGAAAAGAGGCCATCCCTTCTGCTTTGGATAACATGGAAGGAGGGAAGAACTGAGAGTTTACAGAAGTCAAGGCCTGTGGGAAAGGGGTCTAGGAGAATAGGCCAGGTAAGAAGGGCACAGCTTCACGCGAGCGAGTGGCACGTGCCTGTAATCCCAGCAGCTCAGGAGGCTGAGGCAGGATGATCAGGAGTTCAAAGCCAGCCTCAGAAATTTAGGGAGGCCCTGAGCAACTCAGCAAGACCGTGTCTCTAAATAAAATATTAAAAAGGGCTTGGAGGCTGGGGTTGTAGCTCAGTGGTAGAGCGCTTACCTAGCATATGTGAGGCACTGGCTTCAATCCTCAGCATACTTAAAAAATGAATAAATGGGTAAAATAAAGGTATTGTGTCCATCTTCTTTAAAAAAAATAATGATTACAAGCTGCTGGATTCCCTTTCTTAAAAAGGGGGATCGAGGCCTGGGGATGTGGCTCAGTGGTTAAATGCCCCTGGGTTAATACAGGTACAAAAAAAAAAAAAAGCACAGCTTTCAAGGTACCATAGATGCTTCATGTGCTCCCCTGCTGACAGACAATGTGTGCCTATATTCCTGATGACAATGTGTGGTGACTGTATTCCTGGTGGCAATGAGTTGTTCATGTACTAGAAAGCAGAATATCCCCAAAAGGGTGGGGTGGAGGGAACACAGCCAGGAAGCACCTGGCAGGGCATCAGGAAATAGGGTGGGCAGGCTCCACCCTTCTCAAAATGCTCATCATTCCCCCAGCTCACCCCATTACTGGGGTTTCCATTATCACCTCCTCCACATTGAGTTCACATTAGACGCATGGCCTTCACTTCCTGCACAGACAATCCCCAAACCGCTTCCTCTCAATCTGGGTCAGCCACCCTTCTGGGCCAGCAGAGGGGTCTTCCTATCCTGTCAGAGAGTCACCCCTGCTCTCTCCCACTCTGTGCCTAGTCCAATCAGCCTGAAGCTCAGTGCAGGCCAAGGAGCATCAGTCACACAAGTCTCTGCTTCCTTCCACCTTCCTGTGTCCTTTCTTTTTCCTAAAAAGGCATAAGGCCTGGCCTACAAGACAGGCTCACAGAGCCTCAACCCTATTCTCCAGCCTGGTCCAAAAAAGCTGCCAGTCAGTAACCTCCTCTTTTTTTGTCTGGGTGGAAGGGTTAGCCTTCCACCTCCTCTTTGGTTCCCCTGCCTGCAGCCTATGGGCACACCCACCAGCCTGTCAGCCCCAAGAGATACTAATTGCCTGTCTGCCCAACCTCTATAATTGCAGACTCTGGCCACCAATTCTCCCTTCACTAGCACACACTCCCTTCCTGACCCCAGACCAGGCAATACCAAGAGCAGAAGTCCTTTTCATCCCTGATCCTCCCCAACTGCAGCAGGCAAGGGTGCCTGGCTCAGGAAGAAAAACTTCATCCACATTTTAGAGATGCCAAGTCCTCCTCTAGGGCCCCCAGCCAGGGTCTCCACCCAGTCTAGAGTATGAGTCATGAAGGGTGGGGTATGCAGGGAGAGGTTAAAGAAGAGGACGCATGGTGGGCATCATAGGTTCAGTAGCCAGCCAGGACCCTGGGGAGGGAGTGAGCAAGAAACACTGCAGGTCCAAAGATCTGGGTCTGCAGCCTATGGAAGAGTTAATGAAGGAGCTGGGCAGCCAGGAGTCAGGAGTCTGGACTTGGATCAGGAAAGTTGTTTTACCTCTAATACCCTGGGGAGAGAAAAAGCGCACTTGGCCCCAGATCCCATCCCCTCTGGGGGCAGTCATAGGAAGGGAGAGGGAGGGAGATGGCTGGCAACAGGGACCCCTTCTCACTTCTCCTTCCCAGTCTCACACAGCCTGGGTTGTCTGAACTGGTCAGGCCCATCAGCCACGTCGCCCTGCCCCGTCGCCCTGCCCCAGCCCCAGCCCCCTCTGCAGCCACATCTGGGATAAAAATAGCCAACCCTAGGAAAGAGGCAATGCTCCATAGGGGGAAAACCGCTCCTCCTCTAGGTCTGGCTTCTGCTGCCTTCCAACCAAGACTCCTTTTGGAGGAGGCTGGTGGGTCAGGGAAACAGGAAGATCTAGAATCCAAGACCCCCAGCTCTCTTGCATCACCACCGCCCTGGGCCACCTTCCCTCGCCAAGGGCAGTAACAAAGGACTCACAGCTAGCTACCACCCCTCTGGCACCCTTGGTTTTCCTCAGGCACACAGACCTCCACCTTCCAGAGACAAAACCTAGCAGTCCGAACTCCCTTCCCTAAGCCCGGTCACTCTTCTCACCCCAACTCCCCAGCGGCCCTCGCCTCTCGGGTCGGCCTTTCCTCGGCACTCTGCGCCTTCCCTGCTCTCCACGCGCCACCTGGGCACCCCATCCTCCCAGCCTGCGGACAGCCTCGGGTCTCCCCACCCTCGGCAGCCGACACCCCTTTTCTCCATCCCGCCGCTCGCCCTGCGGGTCTCCCCGCAGCTCCGCACTCCCGGCGCCCGCCCTCGCGGCTCCACACTCCGGCTCCCCAAACCCCTCCCGCCCCCCGGCCTCCACCGCCGCCGCCGGCCCCGGGTCGCGGCCGCAGCCGCATCTCCCCCTGCCCTCCGCCCCGCGCTCGGGGTGCCCCGGCTCGCCCCGGCTCGCCTCACCTCAGCGCTCGGCGCCCGGCGCCCGCCCCGGCGGCCCCATCCTGCCCAGGCCGGGGCTGGGGCGGGGGGCGCTCGGCTCAGCTCCCCGCGGGCGCCCGCCCCCCCAGCTGTGGCCCAGCTCCCCCCCGGCCTCGGCCCGCTACTTTGTGTCAGTTTCGGCCACGGCGGGGCGGAAGTGACGGCAGTGGCGGTGGAGGGCGGGGGGCGGGAGGGGGTTTTGGGGAGGGCGGAGGGCAGGGAAGCGAGCGCCGCCATCTTTGTGCGGGGCAGGGGGAGGGTCCTGGCCCGTCCCCCGAAGCCGCCGGCCGGTCCCCTCGCCCCGCGTCCGTCCCGCACCTCTCAACAAACGGACAACCCGGGAAGCCAGGTAGCGAGGTTTTTCCTTTTAATTCGTAAGAAAGCGAATGAGAAATGCTGCCTTCTTTGCAAAAAGCGCATCTTCGGCCCGGAGGGACGAGAGGGCGGGAGAAGCGGCGAGCTCGAATCCTCCTCGCCGCCAGCTTCCCCGTGGCCCCGACTCACACCCCGCAGCCGGCCGCCTCAGGCTCCTCGCCCGGGCTCCTCCCGTGGCATTTCGCTCTCCGAGAACGACACAGCCTCGGGTTAGCCTGGAAGAGGTCGTGCCTCGTCTCTCGCCTTTCTCTCCCTGCCTACCAGGCGAGGGACGGTCCGTGCTCCGCCGCCCCACCACGCCCCCTGGATGGAGCGGCTTCCCCGCCGCTAATGACCGTCCGCGAAGCGCCCCTGTGGGGCAAAGGCGCGCGACGCTGGGCTTACAAGAGCTGGAAGTCAGGCAGAGGGGACCCAGGTTTGGAGGCAAGTTCCCCGCCAGGCCCCGACTAGAGGAAAGTTCCCCCGTCGGCCCTCCACCCCGCAGACTCCCGCAGCCCTCCCAAGCCAGCGTCCAGCGTGGACACCCCCTCGTGGCTACTTTTAGCAACTGCGTTCCTAGAGGCCCTGAGGCTGGGCATCTGAACCGAGGCAGGAGTTTCCAAGTCTGAGGCTTTTTTCTGACCTTGCTCTGAGTCTTCAGGGTGGTGCAGAGCCACCAGCAGCTGGTATGTGGCTGTGCCAAGGGTAGCCCCCACCAAAGGGGCCACCACAGGCACCCACCACCAGCCATTGCCAGCACTGCAAGAGAAGGACAAAAGAGACGCATGAGGAATGGTTCCCTTAGTCTCCCCTCTCCTCAAGGACTGCGCCAGTAACCAAGGGAGCTCCCTAAAGTAGTTCCTGGAGTGAAAGACACGAGAAGAGAGAGGAGAGACCACCAGAAGAACTTAGTCCAGCCTCTAGCCTTAGGGAATTATCTGAATATACCCATTTGCTGATGAGGTAGGTCACTAATGCCCAAAGAAATAATATGACGTTCCCCAGAATACAACCTCTAAATCTTAACTGTTTCAGTGAAAGGACAGGGGAGAGTGAGGAACGCTGTCCTAAGAGGGCAAGAGAACTATTTAAGAGGAGAAAGCTAGGGACCCAGGGACAGAGCCATTAGCAGAGAGAGGTGAGTTAAGGACCGCATCCAGGGAAGATGTCTCCCACCTGAAGACTTCAGGGCCCCAGCCAGCCAAGTAGGTGAAGAGCCGTGGACCCAGATCTCTGGCAGGGTTGAGTGGGAACCCACAGTTGACACCCATGGATAGTCCGATGACTAGGATCAGCAGCCCCACCACCACGGGCTCCAGACCCACAGGTACTCCCTTGTTGCGTCCGTCCAGGATGGCCAAGAGCCCCACAATCAGGATCCCAGTGCCCAAAACCTTCAGACAGAGGGGTCCTGGTCATTAGTTGCCAGGTGCTCCATTTGCCCTCACCCAAACACTCCAAACTATGACCCCCATGTCACCTCGCTTTGTTCAACACAAGCAGCTGGGGGCTGGTGGGGTACCAAAGTAGAACTAGCTCCATATTCCACCCAGAACAATTGGCTGGGGTCCCAAGTGAAGGGAAAAGGTTAAACTTTTCCAGTTCTGCTCCTCTCACCTACCTGATCCAGGAAGCCATTGTTCAGGGACAAATAAGGGGCAGGATAGGTGGCAAAGATGGAGGCAGTCTCCTTGGGGCCAGTCACTGTCAGGTTCCCCCCTGTATAGTTCTGTAGAGCATCTTTGGGAGAGAGGAAAACCCAGGGTTGCCATCTTTACTTACGGCAAACTGCCCTGAGGCACCCCTCCGCACATACAGGTGCTCCAACACTGTCCCCTCTGTTACCATAGTAGAGAACATAGGTGGCTCCAGAGGCACAGAAGGCAGACAGCAGCTGCACGAAGCAGTAGATGGGGAGCTTGGACCAGGGGAAGCGTCCCAGGAGGCACATGGCTAGGGAGTAGGCTGGATTCAGGTGAGCTCCTTCAGGGACAGAGGAAGAAAATGAGCATCCAAACACTGTCACCAGCAACAAGGCCTCTCCTTCCTACAACTCTTAGGATAAATTGTATCATTTTCATCATATATGGGTGTGTATATATATTTTTTTCTTTTTTTCTTTTTTTTTTTTTTTTTTGGTATCAGGGATTGAACTCAGGGGCACTTGACCACTGAGCCACTTCCCCAAACCTATTTTTTGTATTTTATTTAGAGATGGGGTCTCATTGCTTAGGGCCTCACTTTTGCTGAGGCTGGCTTTGAGCTCATGATCTTCATGCTTCATCTTAAGGAATTAAGGCTCAAAGAGTTTAAGTGACTCCTCAAGGTCACACAATGAAGCCAAGATTTGAACCTGCATCTCTCTGCCCTTTCCACTTCAGCACACTGATGCAGCGTGTATCTGAGGGACAAGCGCAAGGTCCTGAGTGGAGTTGACACCAGAGAGCTTCAGGTGTGAGGCGTCAGAGAACAGTACTTACCGTCATTGCCCTGGCATAGATTTCTGCCAAGGTAAGCCAACTGATCCATTAGTGTGAGGAAGGGGAATGGAGAGAGATAGGAAGGGGAGGGACTGGGTAAGGCTGAAGACATATCTCAGTCTAGGGCACTGGTCAAGCTTAGAAGATAATATTCATGAGTCACCAAAGGACCTGCCTTTTTACCATTGCAGACACCCACTGCCACATACACGTCCCACCCCTTCCGATGACCAGACCCCACCCTGCTCACCTGAGACATTGCCTGCCACGTAGATGGCTATTGTAACTGCCAGAGAACCAGCCAGAAACATGGTGAAGAAGTTCCCTTTGGTTTCTCCACTGGTGACAGCCTGGGCCACAGCCCCCTGAGTGAGAAGCTGACAGGGAGAGAAAGGTGAGGAAAAGGAAGTCCAGGAGACCAACAGGAGAGAGATTGGGAGCAACCAAGGGACCAGCAGGGAAAGGAGAAAAGCAGAAACAGGAAAGAGATAAAGAAATGGAAGAAGTGGAGGAGAAGGAAAAAGGGAGAGAAGGCATCTAATAGAAGAAGCAAGCTGAGTGTCCTTGAGCGTGCCTATAGTTCTAATGACTTGGGAGGTTGAGGCAAGAGGATTGCAAGTTTGAAGCCAGCCTCAGCAACTTGGTGAGCCCTCAGAAAGTTATCAGAAACTCTGTAGGTAAGCAGTAAAGTGCCCTGGTTCAATCCCTAGTATAAAACAACAAAAATTTAAAAATAAGGAGAAGGAGAAGAAGGAAGAGGAGAAACAAGAGGGAAAGAGAAGAGATTGAGAGTTAAAAGGAAGTATAGGAAGAGCCAGAAATATTGGTCTACCTCCCTCCTTTCTTCCCCGCAGTTACTGCCTACCATGAGCACAAATACACCCAGAAACTCTGCCAAGCACTGTCGGGCCAGGAGGCTGTGGATCCGAAAGTAGCCCCTCATTTTGGCCAGCAGCTGATCCCGGACCATGGTGGTGTCTTGCTATCTCTGTCCACTGCTCTTCTGTGTGCATAGGCACACAGCTCCTGCATGCCAGGGGAAAAGATAAGGAACAGACTTTAAAACCAATTATCTTGGCAGTTACTATCTACGCAGATGTGTAGAATAGAGCTCACAGCTTTCTGTGCATATGTGGAAGCTGGAATGTGAGAGGCCTGTCTGTGAGCAGGCTGTGTGCACCTCTGCCTGGAGTTTGCCCAGGATCTCTCTCTCTCTTCTGTCCTTTATCCCTATTTCTCATAGAACTAGCCTGAATTGCAGAAAGTACCCTGCTTCAGATACATTAATACTCTTGACCCTAAAGACAGCTGTGTACTATTGATCCCATTGACATATGAGTATACTGAGCCCTATAATTCCCCAGAATCACAGTTAGTTAGTGATTGAGGGAATTCAAACTGGGTCTTCTAATTCTCCATCTGGTATTCTACAATGCCTCTCACCTGGAACATGAAGCCTTTCCTCAAACCATGTGGATATTTGAAGAACTCAAGGAGCATCCAGAGAGACTGGGCTGAAGACTACAGACTGTGAAAATGGATCCCACATGTTGAATGCTTGTGCTTTCTTCATGCAGGGTCTCATGATTAGAGGATCTTTCTTTTCTTCTTTCTGTCTTTTTTTATTTATTTATTTATTTTTTGGTACCAGAGATTAAACCCAGGGGCACTTAACCACTGAGCCAAATTCCCAACACTTTTTTTTTGTGGGGGGGTGGATACCACTGAGCCACATCCCCAGAAAGAGCCCTGTTTTGTATTTTATTCAGAAATAGAGTCTCACTGAGTTGATTAGGGCCTCACTGAGTTGCTGAGGCCAACTTTGTGTCCTCCTGCCTCAGCCTCCTGAGCTTCTGGGATTACAGGCAGCATGTGCCACCGCACCCTGCTTGATTAGAGAATCTTTATCTGTGTGTCTTCTGCCACAGCTTAAGATGAGGAGTTCACACCCATGCTCAGCTCCACCTGCTCTTCTCCAGAGACATGCCACTCTTAACTCTGCATAACATGAAGCCAGATCCTTTTTCTTCATATCTCAAGGCTCCTATTAGATTCACTCAACAGTTAATCAACTTCAGTCCCTAGGGAAAAAATGGTGAAGAAAACATAGTTTCTACCCTCCTAGAGCTTATGTTCCAGAAAGTAGAAACAGATAATCTACAAATATTTAAAATATTGTGTATAGTTTATGAAGTGTTTGAGGCCTGGGACCTTGATTTATGTAAACACTCGGGATCTGGCCCACTCTTGGGCATATCCATGTGCAATAATACTTCTCTGCTAGGTTTAACAAATACTATAGTGCTCCATCCAGATCTCTTTTCAGAGTCAACATAACAATTCCTTAGGTTCACCCCTTGGTTCACTCCTCCTTAGGAACAGTGATCCCCTGCTCCTGGAAAGTTACCCTATTGATGCTGAACTTAGCATGGATCCCCAATCAGCAGTGTGCCCTACAGTTCAGATTCCTGGCCTCAAGCCATCCTCCTACCTCAGCCTTCCAAGTAGTTTGAACTATATGTGTATGCTACCACACCCATTGGCCTCTGATACCACAAATGCAATGCCCTATGAGTTAGGAAAACGAGTCACCTAAGGTGAGCTCTTCTATGGGACCCATGTACAATAATTGGTTAATGAAGGGATACAAGGCCTGGTCTCTTTGCCTCAATTTGAGAAAAATCTGAAGGGCCATTCCAACTCCAGAGTTCCCCCATAGGATCAGCTGAAACTTTCGTTATATACTTTAGTCAGTTTTTTCATTGCTGCAACCAGGAAACCTGACAAGAATAATTTTAGAGGTAGAAAAGCTTATTTTCAAGGCTGCAGTTTCAGAGTTCTTAGTCCATTAATGGCCAACTCCATTGTTGTGGGCCCAAAGTGTGGCAGAACATCATGGTGGAAGAGTGTGGCAGGGGAAAGTGGCTCAAGACATGGCTACCAGGAAGCAGAGAGAGACAGAGACAGAGAGCTATCTGTCCTCACCATAACAAAATATAAACCCCAAACACACTCTTCTGGGACCCACCTCTTCCAGCCACACCTTGCCTGCCTACAGTTACGATCCAGTTAATTCCCATCACGGGATTCATGTAATGATTAGGTTAAAATTCCCATAACCCAATCATTTCACCTCTAAACTTTTTTGCATTGTCTCACACATGAGCTTTTTGGGGACACCTCATATCTAAACCATAATAGTTACATCTTCAGGTGTGTCAGTTTTTCCCTATGCCCAATCCTGCTTTCCTTACTTCCTTACTTATATACCTCTCAAGAGTTTTAGCACTCCTCAATAACTTTTTTTAATTTTTTGTAGTTCTAGATGAACAGTATGTCTTTATTTATTTTTATGTGGTGCTGAGGATCAAACACTCTGCCACTGAGCTACAGTCCCAGCCCCAATAAGTCTTAGCTTTGTATCTCTTCATCGTAAGTCTTTTTCCACAGAATGCAATTTAGAATGGTTGATGTCATGAAGAATTCTAGTGACAATGGAAAAGATCTCCTGTGGTTTTGGATAGGCAGAATTAATATTGTCAAAATGGCCATACTACCAAAAGTGCTAAACAGATTCAAAGTGATTCCAATTAAAATCCCAACATTATTCCTTATAGAAATAGACAAGGCAATCGTGAAATTCATTTGGAAATATAAGAGGTTCAGAATAGACAAAGCAACCCTTAGCAAGAAAAGTGAAGCAGGAGGAATCACGATACAGGACCTTAAACTATATTACAGAGCAATAGTAACAAAAATTGCATGGTACTGGTACTAAAATAGACATGTAGACCAATGATCTAGAATAGAAGACACAGAAACCCACATAAATATGGCTATCTCATACTAGACAAAAGAGCCAAAAATATACATTAGAACAGATAGCTTGTTCAACAAATGGTGCTGGGAAAAATGGAAATCCATATGTAGCAGAATGAAATTGAACATCTATCTCTCACCCTGCACAAAAATCAATTCAAAATATATCAAAGACTTAGACATTAGAACAGAGACCCTGTGCCTAATAGAAGAAAAATAGGCCCAAATCTTCATCATGTTGGCTTAGGCCCTGACTTCCTTAACAAGACTCCTAAAGTGCAAGAAGTAAAATCAAGAATCAATAAATGGAATGGATTCAAACTACAAAGCTTCTTCTCAGCAAAAGAAACCATCAATGACGTGATAAGAAAGCCTACAGAATGGGAAAAAAAATCTTTACCACATACACAGCTCAGATAAAGCATGAATCTCCAGCATATATAAAGAACTCAAAAAACTTAACACCAAAAAAACAAATAACCCAATTAATAAATGGGCTAAGGAACTGAACAGACACTTTACAGAAGAAGAAATGCAGTCAATAAACGTATGAAAAAGTGTTCATCATTTCTAGTAATTAGAGAAATGCAAATCAAAATTAAGATTTCATCTCACTCCTGTCAGAATGGCAATTATCAAGAATACAAGTAATAGTAAGTGTTGGCAAGAATGTGGAGAAAAACATACACTTATACATTGTTGGTGGACCTGCAAATTGGTGCAACCACTATAGAAAGCAATATGGAAATTCCTCAGAAAACTTGGAATGACCCCGCTTTCCTACTCCTTGATTTATACCCAAAGGACTTGAAATCCACATACTACAGTGACACAGCCACATCAATGTGGCACAATCCACGATAAACTATGGAACCAATCTAGATGCCCTTCAACAGAGGAAAGGATAAAGGAAATATGGTACATATACACATGGACTATTACTCAGCTTTAAAGAAGAATGAAATTATGGCATTTGCTGGTAAATGGATGGAACTAGAGAATATCATGCTAAGTGAAATAAGCCAATCCCTCCCTCAAAATCAAAAGCTGAATGTTTTCTCTGATAAGCGGATGCTGATCCACAGTAGGACAGCAAGATAGGGAATAATGAAGGAACTTTGGTTTGTGTAGAGGGAAGTTAGCGGAGGGGTGGGGTTGTGGGGATGGGAAGAACAGTAAAAGAGACAGACATTATTACCCTATATACATGTGTGATGACACTAGTGGAGTGATTGTGAACCATTATAGCCAGGGGAATGAGAAGTTGTGCTCCATTTGTGTACTATATGTCAAAATGCATTCTACTGTAAAAGGGATTCAAGGCTGGTTCAATATATGGAAATCAATAAATATAATTCACCACATCAATATACTTAAAGAATCATGTGATTATAGCAATTGATGCAGAGAAGGCATTTGACAAAATATAGCACTCTTCCATGTTTAAAACACTAGAAAAACTAGGGATAATAGGAACATACCTCAACATTGTAAAAGCTCTCTATGCTAAACCCAAGGACAACATCATTCTAAATGGCAAAAAAAAAAAAAAGTATTCCCTCTAAACACCAGAACAAGACAGGGATGCCCTTTTTTTCACCACTTATATTCAACATAATCCTTGAAACTCTAGCCAGAGCAATTAGAGGAAAGAAATTAAAGGGATACACATAGGAAAATAAGAACTCAAACTATCATTATTTGCTGATGACATGATTCTATACTTAGAGGATCCAAAAAAACTCTACCAGAAAACTTCTAGAATTAATTAATGAATTCAGCAAAATAGCAGGATATAAAATCAATATCCATAAATCAAATGCATTTCTATACATCAGTGATGAATCCTCTGAAAGAGAAATTAGGAAAACTAACGCATTCACAATAGACTGAAAAAATAAAATGAAATACTTGGGAATCAACTTAACAAAAGAGGTGAAAGATCTCTACAATGAAAACTACAGAGCATTAAAGAAAGAAATTGAAGAAGACTTTAGAAGATGGAAACTCTCCTGTGCTCTTGGATAGGCAAAATTAATATTGTCAAAATGGCCATACTACCCAAAGCCCTATACAGATTCAATGAAATTCAAATTAAAATCCCCTTAGTCATTTCTTATGGAAATAGAAAAAGCAATCATGAAATTCACTTGGAAAAATAAGAGGCCCAGAATAGCCAAAGCAGTCCTTAGCAAGACGAGTGAAGCAGGAGGCATCACAATACCAGACCTTAAATTATACTATAGTAACAAAAATGGCATGGTATTGGCACAAAAACAGATATGTAGACCAATGGTACAGAATAGAAGACACAGAGACAAAACCACATAAATACAGTTATCTCATACTAGACAAAGGTGCCAAAAACATACATTGGAGAAAAGATAGCCTCTTCAACAAATGGTGCTGGGAGAACTGGAAATCCTTATGCAGCAAAAATGAAAATAAATCCCTATTTCTTACCTTGACAAAGCTCAACTCAAAGTGGATCAAGGACCTAGGAATTAGACCAGAGACCCTGAGCCTAATATAGGCAAAATAGGCCCAAATCTTCATCACATCGGATTAGGCCCTGACTTCCTTAACAAGATTTCTAAAGCGCAAGAAATAAAATCAAGAATTAATAAATAGGATGGACTCAAACTAAAAAGCTTCTTCTCAGCAAAAGAAACAATGTGGTGAAGAGAGAGCCTACATTTTGGGAGCAAATTTTTGCCACATGCATGTCAGAGCACTAATTTCCAGGATCTATAAAGAACTCAAAAAACTTAACACCAAAAGAACAAACAA